ATATCAAACATAAGTTTCATAAATAATGGAAGAATATTATGTTTTTTATTCATTAAATTATTTATAAATAAACGTTGTTCTGTACTTAATGAACGCTGTTTCATTTCAAGCCAATCATTATAAACTATTTCAACTGTTGATGGTTCAAATGGTGGAACATGTATAAATAAATTTTCATTTTCAATTAAAATATGTTTTAAATTTTCTAAAATATTTCCATGATCAGGCAATGTTGATACAATACATTTAACATTGAATGGAAATTCTATTGGTAACCATTTACAATCATATGCATCACTATGTAATTGATCGATTGAATCAAGTAATATAAGAAGATATTCATTATCACGTATTTGAGAGAGAAGATTTAATTCAAGTTGATCACGAAGTTGATTCACAGTTGGATAGGCCGTCATTGGTATATTATATAATTCAGAAATTTGTCCAGATATAGAAAGTAAAGTTTTATAAATAGTTGAAGAAACTGGTGTAGTTCTATATCAATTAAAGAATGTCAATTCCTTTTTATTTTCGTTTCATTCGATTTAACATACCCAAGAAAACGTAAAATAACCGAAACAGATCGATTAGGCCACCATTTAAATATCTTGAATTAAGTTTGAAAGTATTTGAAGATTTTGTCAAACTTAAGTTAACTAACCTCTGTTGCCGTTTTAGCTATTACACTTGTCTTTCCACAACCAGATTCACCATAAACAACACATGGTCGATATTCAATATTATTTTTCACAAATTTTTCCAACTAGAAAAACAAAAGTTGTTTTTTTTTGAATGTAATATCTCTTATCATACTTTAGATAAGACATCAATTCTTCCATGAAATTTAGCAACATATGTTTTACATTGTATAGCATGTTCTAATACTTCATGTTGTAAACTATCAGAACCAATTGTATAACGTGATTGAACACATCGATCTATTTGTTCTTTCATTGCTGTATAAAAATCATTATTAAATTCTTCTATATATTGAGAATGTTCTTGTCGGTTAATTCCATTTGATGACCAATGAAGTTTATATTTGAATATGTTTTGAGATTTTAATACAGCTGGAATACGAACATTTTTTAATCGATCGAGTAATTTTTCAGCTTCTTGATCAATAACTGTTTCTGATGATATATCGATATATTTTCGTACCTTTTCATCTGATAAATGATTTTGAATATCAACAATTTCACGTAAAAAACATAAAGTACGTTCATTAGCATCTTTTGCTGATAGAATACCATTGATGATCTCCTTTTCCGTAACTAAGAATCAATTTATATAAATAAGTAAACTAATAAAAATCTTACCCGATATAAAAAAATTATCATAATCAGGTTCTGTGATTTGTCCTCGTTGAAGACATGTTTCTGCTGCTTGTCGAAGGCATAGTCTTATACGATTATTTATATCTTTCCATTCTTTATCTGCCTGTTTTACTTCATCTGTATTCTGTGAAAAAAAAGAAACAACAATTCTTTAAAAAAAAAATTCTTTCTTTATTACTTTTGATATAAAATGTGGTATAATTGATGAAATATTCTGTAAAACATATGCAGGTGGCATACAATTCGTATCCAGTCGATACCATTGTGTTAATAGTTCAGCATCATGATTTTCATTTTGTTCATTTAGAACAGTTTCTTTTAATAAATCAAATAATGATGCACGAATCTGAGCTGGAATTGGTCGTGAACCATAACGATGACTAAGTAATACCTAATGTCAATTGATCAATAGATAGTTGATTTTTGTCAATAAAAACAAACCACAAAATTAGTAGCAACAGAATATTTTTTACATAATTCAATTTCTTTTATACATGTTGTAACTTCTCCATGATTATTAGCTGATTCAGTTTGAATTCCCCATCGCATATCAGCATACTAGTAATACAAAGATGTGTTTTTTGTAATTAATTGAAATTATAATAACAAACCTGAAATTCTAATCCATATTTTTCACGACAATAATCTTTAAGTTTAGGAAATATATTTTCAATTAAAGAATCTCGTTCAGTTAATGTATCTAAAAAAATAAGTTTTTTTTTCTATGAAAGACATCGTTTTTAAAGAATTTTAAACCTGAAAACGTTGAACTAACAAAAACTCGTACAATTTTTGATCGAACATCAGGTAATTGTTGAGATCGTCCACGCAAAATATCTAAATAATACGATGATTTCATACTCTAAAATAAAAACTTACATTATGTTGTAAGAGAAAAATGAACATGATTTCAAAATAATGACGTTGTATATCAGCATAGGATTCTTACCGTTTGACTCCTGCGAGTTCGAAAAATGAATAGTAATCATTAGTACACCTGTTCGATCGTCACAACCATTCGATCTCCTTCTACTTGCCATAGATATTGAAAAATCAACCTTCTACTATTTAAATATTTACATGATTCACCATAGCAAAGCAATTCATACGCCGTTAACAACATGTTGTAAATAGTAGCATAGAAAGTTATAGATGAGCATCCACTCATTCTGGATTTTTAAGAACAACTCGTTAACTTCTCTTCAATGGGCAATGCATTGAGACTCACCAATTGTGTAAATCCATTTAAAATAGATCCAATAGCTAATTTCACACTCAATCATTCACACTTTTTTCAGTCACTATAAACAATGTAATAAATTTCTTATCAGAAAAATTTGAGCAAGAACTCGAATATTCTATTCTCAATTTGCACCTTTCTTTAATCCTTAGAGGTAATTGCACGACACCCATAAACAAGTTTATTTGATTGATATTACAAATTTTGATAAAACTTTACTTGTATGTAATCTCAAGTGAGATACGAAAAATCTCTATAATTTTATTTTCAAAAATGGTTCTCTTGTTAAGGTATTCAAGCAACAACAAAGACGCTCAAAGTAGAACAATGACAGTCATTATATCATCGTTCAGACATAGTATATTTAAATACACAATATCTGAGTAACAATGTAATAACTCTCATTGTAAGCTTTGAGAATCTTTATGTTTATATGAATATCTCAACAAGAGAACAATTTTAGAAAGTGAAATTATTTGGATATTTTCACA